TCAAATATATTTACCATTTTAAATGTTAGAAAATAATATTAACAAAATGAAATAAATAAAATTATCAGCATGATTAAAAAAATACCAACAAAAATATTCTTTGTGTGAAATATGTATGAAATGCCCTTTAAGGTCTGTATCATCTGACAACAACCCACGATTGTAATTTTCATATAGTTTAAATTCCTCCACTTAAGTGATCATACATGATCATTTGATGATGTAAATGCATATGGGAACAATGAGAAATTTGATGGCCATGGTTGCCAACCTTGATTACCTGGTTGAAGTGAAACTTTCTTGACTGCTGAATATATCACACACGTATAGGCTATTCTCTTTATATTGTAATAGCACAACCTATTCAGAGCCTAACATGCAAACGAATCATCAAGAATAAACAAATATTCTCCTAAAACATTGGACAAAATATTTTAAGTAGTCATATACAGTGGGCCTACTTTGATGTACAATTACACCTGAATAGACTGATCTCTTGTGAACCTAAAAGATTCTGTTGACAAAGTAATCGCAGCAGAAGGTAAATACAGATAAAATTAAAAAACAAACATAACTTAATATTACTAAAAATTAAATAGAAAGCTGCGCTTACAGACGCTCACATCCACACGTGTAAACACAACTCTGACGTCTTCACTTCCAGGTCAAGAAGCTGTCAATCAAAAGCTCAGTAGCCAATGAGAATACACTTCTACTAGCCCCGCCCCCACGAGAGATTTGTGTCAGAACAGCGAACGCAAACTCAGGGAGTGTAAACGAAAACTTCAGAAGCGTAAATGAAAACTCTGGAAGCGCATTTGTAAGTGTAGATCAGTAAACGAAATATGAGGAATAGTTAGCAAAACATGTAGTGTATTAAAACAAAGTCAAAAAAATTGCTTGCGGTTCATTCTTTTTCAGTTTCAAAGATATTTTATTCAGTTTCAATTTATATTTTCATTCGTTTCTTGAAAAGTTACGTTCATTTTTATTGGCTCAAAATAATTCCATAGATTTGAAGAAAGACTGTAGAAAAGAGAGATGGCTGAGAGACATTACAAGAGAGAAAAGGTCAGAGAATATCACTGGAAAAAGAAGGTTATGATCAGGCAACAGCTTAATATTAGAAAAGTCCTACGTTTTTATTGTGTGCACCGTATTTACAATTTTTGTTCTTCCTCGTCATTCATTTGTCATCTGCTTTATTTCACGAAAAGCATTATTTTTCAGGAAGAATTATTTTGCTTCGCTTCAGCTATGATAAATATACAGTAAAGAGACATTGTGTGTAAGCAATGAAGGGAGGGCGTGTTTGTTTGGGTTGATTTCAAATACCAACAATGTTTCACAAAAAAATTGTTTCAAGTTCTTTTCACTTCAATGAATGTGTGAAAACATGTTCATCGCAGAAGAGATGTATTCAAGTCATTATGTATGATGTTTACTAATTATGTATTTACTACATTAATTATTTAATCAATCATCTGTCCATTGACTTGGCAACATGCATACATGATATTACTTCAAGACAGATTACAACGCTATGCATTTCTACAGCTGTTTCTTGCTCATTAATGTCCATTATTACATATTGCCTTTAGATTTGTTCCTGTTTGTGCATGTTGTATGTTTATTGCATATGCCTGTAGAATGTAAATTTGGCTTTATCAGAGACAGTTTTTTAATCATGAAATAACAATGAAACGATGCTTCAAGCATTTATTATTCATAGTTAATGTTAATCTCAACCAGTGTTGGGTGTAACTAATTACTAAGTAATTAGTTACTGTAATTTAATTACTTTTCCCTTGAAAATGTAAAGTAAGGGATTGCTCTTCATTTATCTGTAATTTAATTACAGTTACTTCTGATGTAATTGAGGTAAATACTGTGTATAGATCAATCCGATCTCACAGCGATTCGTATGCATTTTATGAGATGTCTAAATATTACGACCGCACTCGTACAAATTTGTATGAATTATTTATGAAAAAAGTGTGAAATGTCATGAGATCAGACATAAAACAATAGTGGGTTTAACATCAAAATGTATGTCTGATGCTAAAAAGTATGTTTTTATAATGTAACCTTCTCCGTGGTCAGTTTAAGGATAATTCATGCAATTTTATAGTATTTATTTGAAAGAATTAAAACAGATTCATATCTATCCTTGTATTATTCAGCTGGTTGAGATAGATATGGGATTTTTAAAGTAATTAGTAATTAAAAGTTATTAAATACTTTTTAGAGAGAGTAATTAGTACAGTAATCTAATTACACTGTTGAAGAGGTAATTAGTAACTAGTAATTAATTACTTTTTTAGAGTAACTTACCCAACACTGATCTCAACCTTTACCAATGAATTTTTAAGATCAAAACTTATATCTGATAACATTAGTTAATGCACTGTGGACTAACATGAACGTTAGCATTTTTTGAAGATTAATTAATTATGTAAAAAAAAAAAATATTACTCGTTGTTAGTTCATGTATTATTAACTGATTTAAAGAAATGAGTATTTATTTGTATTATTAAATGTGTATTTATTTAAGTGTTGCCCATAATTTCAACCTTGGCAACTGAATAGATGTGAATGTTTACACACAAAGACCTCAGTGTGTTGTCATGGCAACCCTTGGGCTGGAGTGAAACATTATCTTTTCACTACAGAGATCCATCAGTCTATCAGTGCTGTATGTAATATTGAATCGACTGCACACACAATGTTTTCTGTCACTGTTTCCTGTGGTAAACTCAAGGAAGGTACACACTGTCCATATTACTGTATTGTGCTTATATGACTGACACACTCAGCATGTAAAAGAGAAATGTAACCCCAGTGTTTTGTTCAGTGGCTTTGTTGGGAATCTCATGTGCAGCTAAGCATGATGGGTGTCATATTATGGAGTCTGGGTAGATCCTGGTTGTCAAGCTGAATCATTGATGTAACATTTGGCAAACACAGCAAAAGCAAACGCTCCAGTTATCTATCTACACCTAACGTTAGTTCAGCCGAGGTCATCTAGGTCAAACTGGTAATTGGAAAAAAAATCCCATGTGACTTCTCACAAGTTCTGCTTAATCTAATGATCCATTCCTGTCAAGATAGATATCTCATTCCTGATGTTTTTACTGTCGATTATAAAAAATACAAATAAACTATCATTGGCACTATATAAAAATAAAAACTCCACAAAAATAAATATAAAATAATACCCCACAAATTGAATAACCAAACCATGATGCTTCAAAACATTTATTCATCACTATATAATACAATCTCTCATAACAGAAAGTTACAAAGACAGAGGTATATGCTCATGACACAACAGAGGACATTTCTTAATAACAAGAGGTGCTTTTTGAGAGAGATCAGAGTGCAAGTGAAAATGGCATAAACAAACCAAACTGCTATACAGGAAAAGGTGTAGAAAGAGGTCAAGACAAAAAGAGGTGCTCCAAAAATGTTTTAAAACAAGATCCCAGCTTTATAATGATTTTCATCTTTGATTCAATAATCTTAAATTCCACAAAATGACAGTCTATACAAGTCTAAAATTACAAGTCTACAGAAGCTGTATGTAAAACTTTGGGAATGCTTCAGTATCTGAATCATTAAGGCCATTGGTTACATGTGCTATACAAACATAGATATAATATTTACTTGTTTTGTGCCTCCATCTAGTCTTCAGATCCTCATTAAGCAACTACATTTGGCTGCCAGAAGGACATGAAGTGGATTATACAGCAGAGTGGACTGGCAGACATGTTCAGATATAAATTCAAGACAGCAGTTGAACAAAAGCAGGGAACGGATTGAGAATATAAACCTCAATTAGAAGCGTTTGAATAAACACCGGGGCCAGTGCACTCAGTAAAGGGAATATTTTAAATGGACATTCGATCTGAATCAGTGTATAGGCAGCCACAATGTGATGTGTTGGACTTTTTTCCCTAATCATGTGATAAAAAAAAATGGGATAAAGGACATAAACAGGAAATTTTAGGATTACGACGGAGCAGTCACATTCTTTATATCAGTGAGGAAGTGTTAAGAGTGCATGATTAAACAGAAACAGCAGGAAGTAGAATGACACATCATGTTTCTGAATGTGTGTAGTGCAGCTGAAGCTATCCGAGCGACAATAATAATCTCCGATGCACAGGGATAATCTGGGTCAATCTGTGAGGGAGGGAACGCTGTAAATCTAGGGGCTGAGGGAGATTAAGGGGTTTGTGAAGCAGAATATCCCATACTTGCTTTTGTATGGAATCATTTTTAAAATGTCAGTATCCACTACGTATAAAATGCACTCTTCTATTAACCCTGTACAGAGGAAAGGGTCTGTTCTGTGCTTGTTTGTCAATATTAGAGTGTTAAGAAGATGTATAAATAGTTTTAAGTTCCCATTTAAAGCAAATGTACCTTTAGTACTACTAACAGGCACAGTCCACTTTGAGAAACTCAAGGTGAAGTGTTCTGAAGGGCACACTGGTGATGGGATGCCAGTCATTCTCAAAACTGTGTATGTGTTTGTAAGTTTGACTAAATCATTTTGAGTATTCTTTTCTATTCTAACATAAAAATGACTTCATCTTCATGGTCAACATAAAATGTAAAGCTCAATTTCTAATGCACACATGAAGCTGGGTCAATGACAAATAGACGTGTTCAAGATTAATGAAAATGTTTAAGGGTTTGTTTCTTTGTGCATGCCAGGCATGTTAAAGGGATACTCCACTTTTTTTGGAAATAGGCTCATTTTACAACTTCCCCAGAGTTAAAAGTTGAGTTTTACCGTTTTTGAATCAATTCAGCCGATTTTCTGATATTTAGAAGAATATCAGTAACCACCAGACCATTTCTGGTCTCATTGACTTCAAAAAATATATAGGTAGTCAATGAGACCAGAAACTGTCCGGTTACAGATATTCTTCTAAATATCAGAAAATCGGCTGAATTGATTTAAAAACGGTAAAACTCAACTCTTTAACTCTGAGGGAGTTGTAAAATGAGCCTATTTCCAAAAAAAGTGGAGTATCCCTTTAAGTGTGAGCGCTGCCTTCTAAAACCTGGTGCACACCAAACAAGCGATCTACTTCCAAACAAACTCTGGTGCCGGTCAACTGAAATATAAACACAACACAGACCAAAGATAAACAAACTAAAAGATCAGCAAGATCTGATGCAAAATATAAAGCATAAATGCTGTCCAATCAGGTTTTGACCTTATCCTCATGACCTTTCTTTTGTATCTTTAGGTTTGGTGAGTGTACACACTAAAGAGTAAATTGATCTTTTTTTTTGGTCCAAAAAGAGTGAACACACACTAAAATGCATGCGTCATGTTCTTAGAAATTAACACTTCTCAAATAGTTTTTCAAATATTTATAGTATTTAAAAAAAACTTGTTTATTTTTCAATGAAATAATAGAATAAAATATTATTTATTTCCAAGAACTTCATCCTTTTAATTAGTTTTTTTTTTCTTCTTCATTCTGAAATCAGGATAGTTGTTTCACCCAATCATTGATTTGTTTTATATAAGAAACATGTTAAGTATAAAATAGGTGTATTCAAGTATTTATATGTATGAAATGTATATTTTCAATAAATTAATAGATCTGGGCAAAAATGTCCAGAAGCTAAAACATACAGTCAGTTCCAAGGTAGCAATGCCAAGTAAATGTCCCAGCTCAGTCACATCACACTGTTTGAGTGTGTGTGAGAATAAGGGCAGTTTAGTGTGTGTGTGTGTGTGTACACGTCACATGAGATGTGCAAATCTGAGTGTGGGAATAAGGATTAGTGAATGCTGGGTAAGTGTGTTTGCAAGTGAGGCGTGTCAGTGGACACAAATGAAACACGATCACTCAGGAACAGTTCATTCTAGGTTATCAAACAAACATACACATGAAAAACAGAAAAAGTCAATTCACTTAAACATCATGAGTAGTGGACATTATTAAAACATGACTTTAATTTGAGTATACACTGAAAAATAAATAAAAATACAGTTATTCTGTATTATAAATAAATATTCATGAGGTGCAGATAAGTGGTGGAAAACAAAACAAAGAGAAAAGGGTTGGAATAAGGCCCACAGGGGTTAGTGTGTGTTTAAGGAGTGTGTTCGTGACCCAAACATAATGTAAGTTTAAATATAGTAATGTTTAAGTATATTCATATTATCAATTGCTGGTTCCTCCTACCTTCTGTTAAATTCAATTTATGACCATCAGAGTGAGTGTGTGTGATATATTGGGGGAAGGGAGATAGATTTGAGTACATCCACATGATCCCTTAACAGCATTTGCTAAGACACTCAGACCTTTAAACAGACCCTATATTTTCTGTCTACCAACCAGTGATTGTCAGTATTTCCCACAGGTCTGCAGAAACCATAAAAATATCAGGTATCTGCCAGTAATTACACTCCAAATTACCTTTCAACAGTCACAGATTCTTGCATTATAAATTATGTACCATCATACCTGTGCATTTCAGTGTTTGGACTACACAAATAAATAAAGTTTCCTCAGAATATGTTCAAGCAACAACTTACATCAGTGTTTGAATGATAAACAGTAGTCTGTCTTAAAGGTTTCAGATTTCACAGAGCAGCAATGCGGATCCACTCGGCTCTATATAAACACCATATAAAGACAATGGAGATAATGAATCCGGTTGGGCCACAGAATTATGGTGCACTTTGCTTATTCTCATATATAATTTACATACAAGCCAGCATAGTAGCTAAAAGTAGCATAACACAGTGGATATGATATGTAAGAGAGAAAGGAAATGGCCCCCAGTTATGATTAGGATGCTGACAAAGGTATGAGGTATGAGTCAAAATATGTATTTTTTGTGGTGATAAACATTATCCTTTACTTCTATTGAACCAAAAACATTCCTTTAACCCATTTAGTTGATGAACAGTATCTTGACATGATGAGTAAACAGAAGTGAAACACAAGAGAAAGAAAGCAAGAGTAATACAACAGGTAGGCATGCAGGTGCACTGTAAACACACCTCAGCATGATCAGATCATCTGCTGGCAGGTGGATTGTCGAGGGTTGGTGTGTGTGTGTTGTGATTGTGTCCTTCAGGCTGGACGTTCTGCACTGTCTCCACAAGGCTGCCACTGGGAAGGACCACGTAACGCGCTGCCACTTCCTGCCCCTGCTGTTCCCGTAAACCCTCCTTACTGTGCCAGACGCCATACCCGAAATACACCAGAAGACCTGTGGCAGAGCAAGAGGACAAATTTGATTATGTGACCAGGCTGGTTTAACAGTTTAAATGGTTTTGAGCAGTGCTGAGCTAAAGATAATCACGTTTGGACTAAATGCTGAGACACTAGTTGCCTTGTCTCTTTAAGAGTTTGCACATGGCGAAGCAGCAGCCATTTAGCGATTAGCTTTGATTAATAAACTAACAAAACAAGTCTATAGACATGGCATTTACAATTTATTTCTCATTAAAACAAGATGGTGTGTTTATTCACTGTCAGGGTAACAGTACATTTTTATAGTTTGAACTCAAGGCTATTAGCTACAAGCAATTTCCAAGCAAAATGTCAGTGTGAGAAAATATTTTAAAGGGACAGTTCACTCAAAATGTGTTTTCTGTCAACATTTACTCTCCAAATTACCAAATTTACTCTCTAACAATTTATAATTCATTATGTTCCTTACACAAAGCTATTGAACGGGTTTAAAAAAACGTTTTTGTCTTTTTGGAGCTTGAATTGAAAATATGCCCAATGGAAACACATCAATTTCGCAAAGATTCATATATAATCGCAAAAAAGGTTTTTACTCTAACATGAGGTGGGTTTTCAGGCAAAAATATATATATTTCACAAAGCTGCAAATGTTTTTATTTTTATTTTATGATTTACCGCGATGGAAACGCTGTAATTTCTCAATATTTTTTAATCAACATTTATATATCGCAAGAGTTTTGCACAAATCTGTAATGGAAATGCGGCTTGTAATGGCTGCCATTCTCTTTGATGATAAGAAAAAAGTAGGTTAAACACTCAGCTGAACATCCCTTTGGTGTTACACAAAAAAAAAATAATTACAGAATGGAGCAATATGAGAGTAGATATAAATTTTTGGGTAACCTATCACCTCAAGACAGCGATATGTTCATTGTTTTCAGTATTTTTTTTATTTAATGAGATAATGCTATTCTGAAAATGCTGAAATGGTCGATTCATAAAGTGTATGTATTCAACCTCATTTGCTGCTTTACTTTAAAGCCACACTGCGGAACTTTTTGGCCACTAGATGGTGCTCGACATGTAATTTTCACGTCCAACGTCCCTAGAGGCCACAAGCTCCGCAGCACTGTCGCAAATTAAAGTCAACAGTCAACCGGTCAGCCTCCCGTGTCTTTAGATTGTGTGTGCTTGTGCTTTTACTGTCTATGGTGCTTGCAGTGTATGAGGCGGGCCGGGCAACCTTGCCACACTTGATTCCCTTATAGCAGTCGGCTGAGAGAGCGAGCGGGGTGATCCCCGTGGGGATTATCATGTCTGTGAGTGAATGTGGGCGCGGGACAGCGCGGACACATTCACTGCACTGAAAACACCGTCGGCCAGAGCTGACTGTAACGTTATGTGTGTTGGTTTATTTTTACAGAAACCGTGGGACATGTGTTGTGTAATGTTAGTGTTTGTGGGTACTACTGAGTCGGGGGCACGTTCACCTTCACAAGAGCCGATTTTATTAGTGCGAGCCCTGCACTGAGGCGGGCTGTGTTTGTAGAAATGAACACTGGGCTGTGGGCATTTTATTGCACTCATAACACCATCGGCTGTGGCCGGAATACTAGAAAATACTACACTGCTTATATGAATTTATCTGGGTTACCTTAGAAACGGCATTTGTGTGCAGGCAAGCGTCCGCATCGGTCGAGCACTCCTCCTCCTTTAGCTCACGCCAGCGAACGAAGCGAAAGCTGGACCAATATATTTATCCTCGTCCTGGCTTTTAATTTGTCACTCTCCCCATTTCTTTTTTAGTTTCCTCTGATAAAACCGTTGCCTTCTTCCTTGTAGCTGTTGTTCGGCATGACGAAAACATACAGACGGCAATCAAACGCGAGTTGAACACTAACGTTAGATTCTGAGGAAGTTGTGGGTGGTGGGGGAAGTGACGTATGCCGTAAAGCGGTCGAATTTTGTAGTTCTTTTTGTGCTCGGGTTCCTACCCGAAACTCGAAGTTACAAAGTGCAAGTAAAAGTGATACAGACACCTTCAGGAGACGGCAGATGCGTCATTCAACCTATTGTAAGTCGATCTACCATCTCAATGGGTTTTGATAATATATTATGAAGGTTGAAGAGTTCCACGGTGTGGCTTTAATACAGTAATTACTAAAATGATGTTTATGTTTATGAAAAGTGATGAACTGGTACCTGCTGCGAGCCATATGGTGAAACGGATCCAGGTGAGCGGACTTAACTTCAACATGAGAAATACATTCAGGAGGATGCTGAGGCCAGGAATAAATGGCACCAGAGGAACCTGAATGATGAAACACATACTAGTGATGCAAAGTCTGACTCATTTCTATGACTCAATCTCAGTTGGTTTGAACGGTTTGTTTAAATCAAATGGTTCAAGAAAACTATTCAAAAATTATTTTACATACATCCTACATGAATGCATCATCACGTGGTTCCTAGCATTCAAACATATTTTTGTTGTTTTACATGTTATGGTTTAGGTTTTAGATAGTTTAGAGTAATTTAATGTATTTATTCAGTTTGTTGCAGCCAATTCAGCTCCTAAAAAACAAAGTAATTTTTAACTCATCTAATTTACATTTATATTAAACAATGCTGAAATGTATTTACATCTTTAGGCTGAAACAATTTTTGCATGATTTCAGTGATCCTCAGGATACTGATGATATCAGTATACTCAGTTCACTCCTAAATGCTCTTAGCACTTATAGGTTGTCATTTTTTACACATTTGAGTTCAAAAGCTCAGTCAGTTAAAGGGATACTCCACTTTTTTGGAAATAGGCTCATTTTACCACTCCCCCAGAGTTAAACAGTCGAGTTTTACCATTTTCGAATTCATCCAGCTGATTTTCTGATATTTAGAAGAATATCAGTAACCAGACGGTTTCTGGTCTCATTGACTTTCATAGTATATTTTTTCCTACTATGGAAGTCAATGAGACCAGAAACTGTTTGGTCACTGATATTCTTCAAAATATCAGAAAATCGGCTGAATGGATTAAAAAAAACGGTAAAACTCAAACGTTTAACCCTGAGGGAGTTGTAAAATGAGCCTATTTCTCAAAAAAGTGGAGTATCCCTTTAACATTTTGTAGATTCTGCAAGGTGTATATAAACTTATGACCACAATCGTACAGTATAAACAATTGTAACATATCATGATTTATGCATGCTCAGGACAAATATTAGACACATGTGTGTGTGCCTATGGTGTGTGCATAAAAACATGTGCTTCAGTAATACACTAAATTCAACCAATTACATGTAACATACAATACATTATTTCCCACTGTTTATAAAAGTGATATTTCAACCCAAAGTAAAATTCTATCATCAATTACTCACTCTTTTTCGTTCCAACCCCAAAGACTTTTTTTTTAATTCTGAGAAATTTCTGTCTCTCCATGAAAAGTCTAATCACCCAAAAATTAGTTCATAATGTTCAGAAAGAGAATGCGTTATGTATTTTTGCTGATCAATATGTGAATAAAATCCTAAATTAAATTCTCTCTTTATGAACTTGTTGGACATCAGTTTTGGCAGAAAAGACTTTCAATGGAGGAACAGAAATCTCTCACAATTTATTCATAATTATTTAATTTGTGTTCTAAAGATGAATACAAGTCTTATGGTCTTTGAACGACATGATTTTTTTTGTAAACTACCCTTTAACTGTATAATATCTGTGGTTTTGTCTTACCAGGTCTATTCACCTCATCACTGCAGTTTGTGTAACTCACCTGAAAGGTCTTGTTATTGGGTTGCTGTTCATGGACCCAGATGAGAGCCAGACTGAGCAGGAAGACCAGACTGAAGATGACCAGCAGAAGGGTAAAGCTCCACACAGGCAGAGCCAGCTGGTTACTCCCAAACACCAACACAGCACTTAAAGAGACAGCACTGACCATCAGAGCCAGCACAGAGAACGCCACCACCTCCCCCGGCTCACAGTCCCCCAGTATACGGCCCAGATACGGTTCCCAGCAAGCCTTCAGTGTCCCAGCAGCGCGCCTCTCCTTCACCGCCTTCTGCCTCTCCACCAGCTGAAGTTTATCAGAGAACGACTCATACTCCTTCGGCTCTCCGCTGTCCTGTGCAAAGGTCTGGGTCTCGTTGACTGCCACAGATGGATCCACCTGCTGCCCTGACTGGTTCAGTGAAGGTGTGGATGAAGCAGCTCTTTTGATTCCACTTCCTCCTGAGCTACATTTATCCTGTTGGTAGCGGAGCACTATGATGCTGGCCGCTACAAAAGTGTAAGCAAGCAGAGTGCCAATAGAGAGGAACTGGACCAGTGCTTCTAGATCAAAGATGAGGGCAAGAAATGCCATAAGGCTGCCAAAAACGAGAATGGCGATCACCGGGACTTTGGTTACAGGGTTGACACGAGAAAAGACAGAGAAGAAGAGGCCATCCTCCGCCATGGCATACACAATCCGCGGGAGAGAGAAGAGGTTGCTGAGCAACACAGTGTTCATGGCTAGATGAAAGAGATTAGATTGTTTAACTTAGACAAGATAGGAAACAGCATATGAACATAACAATTACCGCTGTAAAGTTCAGCCATGTCTTCTAAGAAAAAATCTTTAACATCAATGTGACCATATGAACATCAATATGGATCTCTACATACACGAAGGATCTCTCAGTTCTACACACACTAACGTTCATAGGTTTGAGGTCAGTAAGATTTTTATGTTTTAGAAAGTCTCTTCCACTCTCGAAGGCTCCATTTATTTGATCTAAAAAGACAGTAAAAACATTAATATTGTGAAATATTATTACAATTTAAAAGAACTGTTTTCTAAGTCAATTATATATTTTAAACTGGAAGACTGTTTATTGACTGCAAAGCTGAATTTTCAGCACCATTACTCCAGTCTTCAGTCACATAATTCTTCAGAAATCCAATTTATATGTTTATTTGGTGCTCAAGTATAATTTATTATTATTATAATTATTGTGCTGCTTAATATTTTTGTTTTAATTTGATGCCTTGATTAATAGAAAGTTCAAAAGAACAGCATTTACTTGAATTAGACATTTTTGGTAACACAATATAAAGGTCTTACTTCCACTTTTGATTATTTAAATGCATCCTAGCTCTATAAAAGTATTAATTTATAATATATAAGGCCATAAAAACTATGTACATGTTTAAAAGACGTTCACTGGAGGCAATCATCTTTTTAAATCGGTAAGGCTATATGCGAACAAACCAGGATGGAAACATATTTATTGAATAAATTACTTAAAGCGCATCAGAAAAGTGATGTTGCCTCAAAAAAAAAAAAAAAAAAAAAATAGACTGAATAATTTGCTCATATGGTTGGCCTATTACCTAAACATTTTTTTGTGAATGAATAATTATTGCGTTAAATAAGTGGTTGTTAAATTATTATTTGTACATCTTTTGTTGTCATTTAATTGTGTAACCTATATTTATATTAAATCAACCACCCTGCTCACTATATCAACACTGGCTGTTGAAAATCCTATATGTCAACCACTACTAACTCATACTCACCACAGATGGAACCCACAGCCACGATGAACCCGGCCCAGCTGTATCCCCGTCTGAAGAATGCATCTGACAGAGCGGAGTTTGGGTCGAGTGTATGCCATGGAACCATCAATGTAAGAACTGTGGACACTAGGACGTACGCTGTGGCGGCCAGGCCCAATGAGATGGCTGTCGCTATGGGAATAGCCTTCTGAGGATTACTGGCTTCTTCACTGGAAGCCGCTATCACGTCAAAGCCAACAAATGCATAGAAGCATGTTGCGGTTCCTGCCATAATACCCGAAAATCCAAACGGGGCAAAGCCTCCCTCCCGAGCGCTCCAGTTGACTGGGTCGGCCAATACAAAGCCAAACACCAAAATAAAGGCAATGACTACCATACTGATGGCCGAAAAGATGTGGTTGAGCCAAGATGAGACACGAACACCAAATGAGATGAAAAATGAAGCCACTAGGAGGATGGAGGCCGCTAAGAGGTCTGGGTAATGAGTAATGAAGGGAACGTCCCAACGCATCACATGACTTTCAGTGAAGTTCTGGATGCGGTGATTGAAAATTGAGTCTAGATAGCCACTCCACGCACGAGCTACCGCAGCTCCGCCAATCATATACTCCAAAATGACATTCCAACCAATCAGGAACGCCCAGATTTCCCCAACAGAAACGTAAGTAAACATGTAGGCGGAGCCTGTCTTTGGTACACGGGCGCCAAACTCAGCATAGCACAGCGCTGCCATGAGAGACGCCACTCCTGCGATGAGGAACGACACCACGACAGCTGGTCCTGCAGTGTCTTTAGCTACGGTTCCTGTGAGAACATACAGGCCTGAACCCACCATTCCACCGACACCAAGCAGAGCGAGGTCCACTGTGGAAAGACAACGTTTCAGTGATGTTGCCATTACGTCATCCTCCAGCGTCTTTAGCCTGTTGAGCTTCTGACAGAACCTCATCACTGAAGAGCATCCAGAAACACATGATGCCATCTTGATAGAGAACGAAGAGTTGGTAAAAGAGATGATATGAAATACACCAAGGTCACACCTGGTCCATAGTTTTCAGAGTCCAACAGGCCTTATAAACCTGAAATGAAAATAAATATAGTATATTGAAAATCAAAGTCAGAAATTAATGATTGTTTAGGCCAAATATATATATATTTAAAATGTGGATAAAATCTTTTTTAATTGGATATTTTATATATTTCATAACATTCTATTCTAGTGCTGTCTGTGATGGGACTGTGATTTTATAGACCTGTATTTATCAGATATGTACATATTGACTGTCTCAGTTGTTAATGTATGTCTAATGTTAAGTGGTTGCAGATGAACAAACGAAAAATTAAATGCAGCTCTGAAACCATTGATTAAATATGAAAATTTACGAGAATATGAGAAGAATTTACATCCAGCAACTTCCAGTAAATTATATTACATACAAATCTACTATGATAGTAGGCTACATAGCAGAGAGCTGTGTAATATAACATTGAAACCAGTCAATTATTCAATATATGCATTTATTGTGTTATGAAATGTTGTGCATTATTTACACACAGACACAGGGACAACACAACAAATCATGGTACATCATTTTAATAGGTGGGCTTCCTTTCCCCTGGTGTCAATAAGTAGGCAATACAGGAGCTTGGTAGACTAATTCTTTAAACTATAATTGCGCCGTAACATTTGTTTTTATGCCACAATGTATATAATAGACCCCATGTATAAAGTTAGTGACAATACATTTTGCAGGCAGTCAAAAAACACAGCCATAGATAAGGTAAAGAAAGAATTCCTAAAAGGAAACTGATCTACTAATTTCAGCTATCAATAATATAACGTGGCAAAATATATTTGGAACAAGCAACATAAACGTTTAATAGTGTTTAATGCTAAATAAAACCTCTACATTTTGATTAAATTAATGAATCATAATCAGCAGTTATGTGGAGATAACCAGGCCACACAGATGATGCTGTGGATGACAGATGGTGGTTCCCGGGCCGTTCACATCACATCATATCCGCTGCTTCTCTAGACTCACTGCTGGAGCGAGCCCTGGATGACGTCATACATGTCATCCTTATCTGAAAATCTCCATTGTACAGTGAATTTACAACTCACTTTACTTATAAAACAATATGAAATACAAGCTAAATGTCGATGCACCACCTTACTCCATAGAACGCAGCACGAATAATATATAACTCTCAACATACATTTGAGTCGGTAGTGATAGAGCTCAAATAAGCTCACATTTAATAACCAACGATATTTTCTCGGCGCTGTAATCGTTTGATTGAACTATGCCAGCTGTCTGTTTTCAACCTCCCTTATCGCTAATAGCCTGTAGACACAATGTGCTGATGAGCATCGTCGAGAAGACAGGTGAGAAACTGCCCCACTATGTTTCACATTAACGACAAATCTTAGCATTAAAACATTTTCATGCAAATTCATGAAAAAGAGTAGTTAGGCTATGGCTTTTTACCTGTAGTTGATTATTGCGTTCATTCGTGTCGTGTTTGATGAAAGCGATGTTGTAAAGCGTCATTGAACAGAGGAGAGGGTGGAGGAGCGAACAGGAGCTGTTTCCGCTCTTAAAGGTGCAGCACCTCATTAACGTATAATGTTTTGTATAAAACATCCCTTTACCTAACATACATTATGCTATTACTAATAATGAAATATTTATCCATTTACTATTGTTGGAAAGTCATATTTCTTCTGAATTCTTTGGTGGTCATTCTAATTACCATTCATTATATATATATATATATATATATATATATTATATACTATATATATATATATATATATATATATTATATATACATATACAGTATATATATTGTGCTAAAACTATTTTTTTTTTTTTTTAGTTCCAAAAAAAAAAAAGACCATTAGGCTACAGGCCTATAATTTCGTGCTTTAGGCCTAATGCTTTAATGCAATTAGTGTATTTTAAAACAAGTAAACAACATGTTTAATCACAAACATTATATATTTTAAGAGACATAATTTTTTCAAACTCTCTTCTGGAGCAAAACCTTTTTTTTCTTTATTAAATAATTTAGAGAAAAACATTTTTTAATGAAAATATTTAAACAAATTATGACAGTGTTAGACTATCTTTTCATTAAACTGAATGAGTTTCAGCATTACTTGATAAATATTCCTGAATAAAACGGATGAAAAATATAAAGCTTGACTGTTACTGTACAAAATTTAACAACCGAAATAAATGGAAAATTGTATACTATAGGCCTAACGGTAATTCTAAGTGCTTATGTAGACATGATTAAGAGAAAGAAACCTAAAGATACAGAACTTTATACATTTTCTTTCCTTATAAAAAGTCTAGAATAAAGAAAAAGTCTAGAAAAGAATGAAAAGGAACAAAATAATGCATTGCAATAAAATGCAACACAGTTAATGCATATGACAAATATCAGTTCCTTGTTCATATATCCAAATGTAATGATCAAGATCACTCAAGGATTTACTTTTAATTCCAATTTATTATAGGAAAGTCTAGTCCTAAAGGAATTTTTTTCGGAGTAGAACATTTCAGGTTTGCATGGGGGCAAGAAAGTGCAATTTAAAATGAATGTTGAATATCTCCGCTGTGGGATATAAGTCCTCTGTGGGAGCATTATATGTTATATTTTATATATTATAGAGAGCTGAAAATCTGAGGTAAGGCCTTGTTTAATATAAGCATAACAAATAATAGTGAACAGTATTTCACACTAATTATGTTTATGATTGACATGCAATAATTACAGTAAAATATACAGACATTCAATGGGCCTACAAAATCTATTATAGGCCTACCTCTGGTACTAATAAATAGAATAGCATGATGTTAGTTTAAAGTTTTACGTCATTATTATTCGTGTTTTCTTTTAGAATATTAATTAAGATTATGTTAATATAACTAATTTTAAACACTTATAAGGTGAATTAGTTCTCTCTTGGAAGTTTGCCGAGGCCCCCTAGTGGTTACTTCTCCTCCACTCTGTAAAAAATGATATGATCAATAAGTTAAGACAACATATGTTTTTACATTGCTTTAACTCATCAAAACAAGTTAAGCAATTTGCAATTTATTTTTAACTTTCAAGATTCAACTCATTTTTAAAAGTAATTTTATTGTAATTTAAGTTGAAATGACTTAAAGATCCATATTGTTTGTACTTAAACATTTATGGCAGCAACTTTTTTTAGTGTATAGTTAAACCCTTGTGCGACCTAACAGACATTTTTTTTTGGATCATTTTGCATGTGTTAATGTCAACTGCATACATTTTTGCAAAGGTGTGTATTTTTATTGGAATTTACTGTCACCACAATTTCCTTTAATAAATCTATTTTGCACTAGGCTATACACAAAATAGTTCCATTCAGGACCTTGAGGACAAAAATTCCCCCATTATTTTGCCATTTGGCCAATAAAGCAAATCACTAAAATGTTTTATTCCTGTTCTCTACTTCTGCATATTATACAGTCAATTGGATAAATTATGCAGCTGTAAGTTTTGGTATGGATGTCAGATTGTGTTTTTTATGTTTGAAAAAATAAATGAAAAAAATAAAATAAATAAAAAATAAATAAAAATATGGCTTTGATTGTATATGTTTCACATTTTTCACATCATGTTTCACAAAAAATATATAAATTTTGTATACAATTATGTTCATAAATCATTTTTATAAACTTAAACCTTTATAACTTTTACTTCCTTTACTTCAACAATAATCTACCAAGGGTCTTCTTTAAAATGAGACCAAACTTACCAATGACCAAAATTGTATTGACATTTTTTGTTTTGTCCACTATATGTGTAACGTTTACAACAATACTAAAATTCACAGATGCAGTATGATATTGATCATTTTGAGGAACTTATTTGCAAGCATAAGCTGTATGTAAATCATAAACAAAATTACTGTACAATTCTGGTCATCATTATTGATTACTCAAATCTGATTTTTTCTGCATGCACACTATTAGATAGGTATACCTCTAAAACAAACTATAGGACTGAGATTCAAACCATTACTGTATTATTGTTGTGATGCAGCACTGTTTACTGAATAAACCAGATTGGGAAAATTTGATCAGAAACTTGTAGTTATCCGTTTCTTTAGGAGGGTCTTAAAGGGATAGTTCACCCAAAAATGAAAATAAACCCATGATTTACCTCAAGCCAAGGTATATATGACATTCTTCTTTCAGAAAAATACAGAGTTATGTTAAAAATGTCATCAGCCTTCCCTTCCTGAATTTTCTTTTCATGCTTTTAAATATCAGAATAATATATATATATATATATATATATATATATATATATATATATATATATAATTTTGTACTTAAAAGGATCAAGAAGGACATCAAATTTTTCATAAATTATCAAACATCATATTCATATTTCATGTCAGTAAACGTAATTTCACAATATTATCCTGGATCAACATATTTGTTGATCCTGAAACAACATTCCAATCAACCAATCAGATTTGAGGGACAAGTTTACAGTTTCTGTCATGTTTAGGCGTACAAGGGTTAGGTGCTTCTACATCAGTGTTATTCATCAACCATTTCCCGCTGATTTTAGGGATAACTTATGGGTAGTGAGGATATGGTTAGGTCTAAACTTTTCTGACAGGAATGTTGTTGCAGAGTCAAAAAAATGTTGAACCAGGAACATGTCAAATCAAAAGTAATACAGTTTTTCATGAATATTAACTGAAATATATTTAGGAATTTATTAATAGCTTTTCCCCTTTTTGTGGATGCATAGTCTTTTCTGAAGCAGCAAGAATTTCCTTTTTTCAGATTTTTTTTCAGATTTTCCAGAATATACTGTTTGTCATGCATTATTTTATTATTTAAAAAAAATCAAAATAAGTAAATAAATGCAAAATACTACACGATAATCTATACTGTAATGGTAATTGCATATAAAAGCATTAGACAATGGACATCACCAATATCACCAATTCTATTCAGGAAAGCTTGAAGGTTTTGTTTAGGTTTTGAGAATTTTAAAAATCAAACTGAAAATCCTCTAGGTGGTGCTTTAGAGTTGTTTTGAAGCATTTAGAAATGCAGAAGCTCTTGCAGACAGAGGGTGGCAGCAGTGAACAGTTTTTCAAGTGAAGTGATATTCAAAAATCATTCTTCTCTAGCAACAGATGATATTACAGTGGAAGCTGAAATTAACTAAGATGATTGGTGCTTTTCATGGGGATTTTGAGGGGATTTTTTTAGCCATTCTGACTATTATAAAAAAAGGCTTGATGTTTGATATACTACAACAATAAAAAAGACAACAAGAATGCTTGCCCCATGAAATGCATACTGATAAAGTCAAAACTTGCATTAACAGTATTATTTTACAGTATTCAGCAGATTACTTTAACATACGGTCTGTGTTCTCAGTAAACCACACGGGTGGTTTGTAGACTTATCTGGCACTTTTCACATCGCTCCAGGTCTTGGTGACAGATCCTGTTTTGGAAAAATTAAAGGAACTGATTCTGATGTATAAGCTTTTGCTCTTGGAGCTAAATTTAAACAGTGACTGATTTGTGCATGCACTACGAGAGCCATGGGCCACAAAGAGATTTATTGCTCAGACGAGGGCTATACATTTTTGTTTCATGGCATTAGATATTGTATGTATCACAGTCATCAACAAGTGAAGAAAGTAGCTTAATGGCACAACAGCCAAGCACTGTTTGCTGTCTACATATGATAACTATCTCTTGTATTCTCGTCTAGGGCAGTATGGCAAGACACAACCCTTTACTGACAAAACAAATCAAAAACGAAGATTCTGATCCCGGCTAAACATTAAAAAAACACAACAATAAATAAATAAATAAATATCCAGCCTGCCAACACCATGTGGAAAATTGTGTCTGATGAGACCAAGATTTTGGCCAAAATTGTAAGAGTTGTGTTTAGTGCAAAAACAACACATCAGTAAATGTTTCTGCTTTTCTTTAGTTGGAACTGGCTTTAGTTAAGGTGGAGGGAATCATGAGTAGCTCGAAGTACCAGTTGATTTTGGGACAGAACCTTCTGATGTCTGCTAGAAAAAGAACTTTCATTTTTCAGCAAGACAATGATCCAAAACTCACATCAAAATCCACAAAAGAATGGCTTCAGGAAAGAAAGATAAATCCAGAAAATCTATGGAGGTCTTGGGAACATGCACTGTTGATCATTTTTCAGTACATCCTCTTTTGTGTTCCACTGAAGAAATGAAGTCATAAAGGTTTGGAACAACATGAGGTTGAGTAAATGATGACAGAATATTTATTTGTGGTTGAAATGTCCCTTTAATAAGAAAGAGAATCGTAGGGATTTAGTTATGGCCTTTGAAGCCCATACTAAAATCACTGGTAGAGATGCAGGCAGTGATCAGTGAATCTCTCCTCGGACCAGGGCCGTGTACAGGGTGTCCCAGTGGAGCCACTGCTCCTTTTGCTCCTGGTCTTCTAGTGCTAACTGGAAGAATCCTTGTCTAATCAAATTACTGTACCTGGTCTGATGTAAATA